TCGCCAGAGCAAGCTGGCTACTGAGACTGATTACATCAGTGAGCGCTGGGTTTCTGGGTTTGAGTGAACAAATGAATAAGGTAAAACAGAAGAGCAACTAGGAATGATTCCTGACATCAATCTTAGACCTTCACACCCATGGGCACAGGTACGTGCTACTACACACACACACACACACACACACACACACACACACCACATTCATTAATTACTTTTTATATTGCTGTGACAAAATATCTCACAGAAACAACTCTTATTTTGGCTCATGGCTTCGGAGAATTGCAGTCCATCGTAGTGGCAGGGAAACAGCAGAGCAGCCCTGGGCTCCATCTGGGCTTTAGAAGTGTGTGGTGGAGTCTGCTCACATGGTAGCTGGCCAGGAAGCCGAGTGTGCGGACAGAACCAAGGCATGTATAACTCGCAGGCCGACCACTTGGGACTGCTTCCTCCAGAACCCACCTCCTAAAGGCACCACTGTCTTCAAAACAGCCCTACAAGCCGGGCTCATCAGGTGCTTAACACATTAGCCCATGGGGATACTCCAGATTCAAAGTATAACCTAGACGAATCCAGCTAGCTTGTGCAAGCTTGCTTCTCTCTGAGAGGGGACGTATGTGTCACTATTGTCGCCTTCCAGCACCAGCTGTGGTCAGAGGAGCTCGCACTGGTGGCCCTGTGCAGGTTCTCCCAGATCTCAGCCAACCCTTGGGCTGGGCTGCGATCCCCTTGTCCGAGACATGCAGCTTCTGGGGCTGGGCTACCAGTCTTTGGCTCTCCCACTTCCAGAAGGCCATGGTGGAACTTCCCAGTCTTCCGTTATGCGAGCCAGCCTATGCATTCTCTTTTATAACCATGTATACACTTCGTTAGCTCGGCTCTTCAGAGAACTCCGCTACGCTTTCTTCTTCTCTCCTTTCTCGGGCATCAGGCACACACTTGGACCTGAAGGTTTGGCTCTCCTCCTCTTGTTCCTTCCTTTGTGAACATTTTTTTCCCCCAATAAACTCTCGCCCATCCTCTTTTGGCTTAACATCTGCTTCTTGGGAGACTGGAATTGCCACACCTTTTCTGCCCAGTGCCCTCCACGCCCTCCCTTCTTCCCTTACCTCAGGTTTCTTCATGCCTCTGGTTCTAATTAATGACCCTTTGTATTTGGGTTATCTGTGTGTGGTCTGCGTCTTTCTTTGGACTCTAAAACTTGTTCAGATGGGGTGCTGGGCAAGATGGGTTCCTGTCCTGTCCGCTCTTCTGCTGGGCCTACTATCTGGCACAGGACAGATCATCACAGACACTTACTAAATAAATGTTCAGGAAGCCGTGGAAAATTGAGGAAGCTGCAAACATCTGGAAACACTGCCGAGAAAGCTGATGCTCTGCTTTTCAAAGGCGGTGACTGAAGACCTGGTGTTGCCTCCATGTGGCTCCTGGAGACTCTGAGACTCTCCGTGGCTGTTTGGAACACATGCCAGGTTTCAGCATGGGGAGGCCAGCCAGCTCGGGGGTGGGGGTGGGGCTGAAGTCTCCCCCCCCCATGCATCCTACTAGAAGCAGCCCTGAGTGTGCAGTCTGGGGCAGAGCTGCCTCTTCCTGCAGTGAATGCTGCAGCAGTAGTACCTGGAGTATTCCCTGAAATGAATACCGAGTAGACTGTTTATCTAGACTGAGAAATTCATGAAGCGCTGTCCTGAACCAGTAGGGTGGGGAAGCAGACAGTGATGGGTGGCTTCTTTGAAGATGAAAGTCATTAGATTTCAATGGAAATCCAGGAGGCAGCGTCCCACTGACAGGGAGATTTAACCTACATTGCAGGGCAGAGCAAGCAATTGATAGCATGATTGATAATAATTTGATGGCAGTAATTGCGGAGGGGAACTTGAAAATAGTTAGATCAGTAGGAAGCAGGCCATGAGTCAATGACATCTTTGGTAGGCCAAATTTTCTTATGCATATCTTTTGGACTTTTCTTTTTAAAATATGTTGTCACTGTTTTCTTTTCCCAGGAGAACCCGGAAATTTCTGAGAGTGGGCCATCCTGGAACCAGTGTATTATGGAACCACACCCCAGCAAACCACCAGGGAACCACAGCCCGCAGCTCCTTTGGGAGAGCCCTGTGTCTGCAGATCCTGACCATCGGGGATGAATAGTGTGCATTCTGGGCAGAGTGTCGATGCTGTCCAGAGCGCTGCAGACTTGTAGATTGCCTGCTCTCTCAAGGATTGTCCAGTGCACAAGATGAGCATCCTGAGGCAAGATCACATCATGAGGCAAGTACTTCTCCCTCTTTACCTGCCTAGCAGTCTTGGTTAGCATGGCTCATGTCTCCCTGCTTCCTGACTGGATACCCAATGTGACCAGCTGCCTCATGTTCCCGCCACCAGGATAGACTGTACCCTGGAGCTGTGAGCCAACCACCCCACTGCTGTGGGATGTTCTGTATGGCAAATGTGTTGTTCTGATTGGTTAGTAAATAAAACACTGATTGGCCAGTAGTCAGGCAGGAGGAAGTATAGGCGGGACAAGGAGGAGAAGAATTCTGGGAAGTGGAAGGCTGAGTCAGAGTCACTGCCAGCCACCGCCAGGACAAGCAGCATGTGAAGATGCAGGTAAGCCACGAGCCACGTGGCAAGGTATAGATTTATGGAAATGGATTAATTTAAGCTATAAGAACAGTTAGCAAGAAGCCTGCCACGGCCATACAGTTTGAAGCAATATAAGTCTCTGTGTTTACTTGGTTGGGTCTGAGCAGCTGCAGGACTGGCAGGTGACAAAGATTTGTCCTGACTGTGGGCAAGGCAGGAAAACTCTGGCTACACCCCCCCCCCTCAGAGCACAGTGCAGGTAGAGGTGCTAGAAAGTTAACTCCACCAAGGAAAGGGTGGATAAACCCTCACCACCCTTCATTCTCAAGTGGATAAGCACTGAGGTATCCTCTACAGAGTGACTCTCCAAAGTCTCCAGCAGGTAGCCTGAGCTCCGGCTGCCCACAGCAGGGACTGCTCGTGGACATGCCCACACTGTCTACCTTCCTTAGCTGTTTTCCTCATGCTCACTGTGGAGTGTGATGACTGATCTTAAGTGACGGCTTGATGCGATCGAGAATCACCCTGGAAACAAGTCTTTGGGCATTTATAGGAGAGGTTATCTAGACTAGGTAAACGGGGTGGGAAGAGCCACTGCCAATGACACAGCACCATTCCATGGGCAGGGACCCTGGACTGAATGAAAAGGAGAGGGCCAGGAGAGCACAAATATCCATCTTCCTCCTCTTTCGGCTTCCTGACCGCAGGTGAAATGTGACCGGCTGCCTGGAGTGCCCGCCTCCACGGTGAACTGTACTCTGGAACTCTTTATTCATTACGTTGGTTTTGCCAGGTAGCAATGTGTAAAGTAACTAAGACAGCCAGTGGCCTGTATCCAGACCTCTGCTCCCATGAGATCACTGTGAGGGTTTTCTGCGTCGTTTGGTAGACTCTTAACCACTGTTTTGGCTGGGTGCTGGGCCATCTGAAGAGATGCAGACCATCACACCAGGTTTCCCGGACCACCACTAGGCCTGTGGGAAGCCCAGAGGTGGCATGTTGGCCGGTTTGTCATTGTTGTGACAAAATGCCTGGGAAAAATATCCAAAGAAAGGAAAGATTTACCCGGGTCACACTTTCAGGGCCTTCTGGCCAACAGAGTAGCTCACCTCAGGGCAGCCATGAAGCAGAGAGAATGCTGATGGCCGGGACTTTCTTCTTCTCCCCCTTTACTCTACCCAGCACCCCCCACCCCCCGCCAGCCTAGGGTATCACTGACACTCAGCTTGGGTCTTCCTCCTTGGTTATGTCTCACAGAGTCACTCAAAAGAGGCCTGCACTAATCCGCTGGGCCCTTCTCAATCCAGCCAGTTTAACAGCAGCAGATTAAGCAGCAGGGGCATGAGAATCACGGTTCACAACATGACTACTTGAAAGTGCCACCCATCATGGTGGGCGTCAGGGAGGCAACAGGGACTCGGGGCATTGGTGGAGGAGAAGGCTCAGGTGTGCCGGATAGAACTCTGCTAGCCTCTTACCTGGTAGAGAGCTACGCTGTGATTGCTGCCTGCCTATCAATCTTGGGGATTTGAAATGTCTAAAATTCACCCCAGTAGTTTCGGGGTGAGGGAAAGGCATGAGTGAAACAAGCCAAGTGTAAGAAAGATTAGCCTGATGGGGGAGGCACCCGGAGGCAGGGTTTGAACAACATGCGTGGGGTCTTAGGGGCAATCACCAGTAGGGGCAACAAAGCAAATCCTGTAACTGCGGAGTTGAGGGTGCACTGGCAATTCTTTGAGAGGAACTTGGGGAGGGGGGTCATGTTGGGGTTGCCTAGAGGGGTGGGAATGGAGAGGGAATGGATACATCGATCACATGTATGTAGCTGACAAAGAATGAATAAAAGATTTAAACCATCGGGGGCCCTGAGGCCTTTCTTTCTCTGACAAGCATGGGAGAGGGGAACTGGTTTCCATGAGGAACATCCCTCACAAGCTGGAAGACTGTTGGCCGCCATGGTGGGCGTGGGGCTCACTGAGAGCGGGCTGTGGAGACAGGGCTGCACCTGCCTTGCTGGAAGGGGTGACTGCCACTTACTCTGAGCAGTGTCATGTCATGGGATGCGGGCCTGGTGGTGCTTGCTCTGTTTCAAGAGACTCAGAGCTTTCCAGTTCTTCTCTGATAGGTTCCAGTTAGGTCTAAAACTGCTGAGAGGCCATGGGACCAGGTGTGTGTGTGTGGGTTTTTTTTCCCCTTTGGTTTTTCAAGACAGGGTTTCTCTGTAGTTTTGGAGCCTGTCCTGGAACTCACTCTGTAGATCAGGCTGGCTTTGAACTCAAGAGATTCACCTGCTTCTGCACGCCCCCCCCTCCCCAGTGCTGGGGTTAAAGGGGTGAGCCACTTCCCAGCTTCTTCTTCTTTTTTTTTTTTTAAAAAAGATCTATTTATTTTTATTTTCCATGTATGAGTGTTTGCCTGTATGTATGTATGTATGTGCACCATACGCATGACCGCGCCTGTAAAGGCTTGAGGATGGCACCAGATCCCCGGAACTGGAGTTACAGACATCTGCTAGCCACCGTGTGGATGCTGAGAACTAAACCTGGGTCTTCTGGAAGAGGAGCCTGTGCTCTTAACCACTGAGCCATCTCTCTGAGGGACCCTGCTTTCCCTCAGCTGTCAGTTCACGCCTCAGCTGCTATCGGAATCCCCGGCATGTGGAGAGAGTCATGTCCCGTGGCCTGAGTGGTTTCTGAAAACCCTGGTGCAGAAAGTTCAGGAGCTGAAGGCTGGGGGCATGACTTGAGGAACTGTGAAGCCAACTTGAAGGAGCATGTGGCTGGTGGCCCTGTAGCTGGTGGCCCTGGGACTGGTGTGTGTGCCAAGTATGTGACTAGGCTGGAAGAGGAGTGGTAAGGGACAATGGGCAGGTGGCTGACAGTTACCTTAAGATGCCTAAAGGGAGAAGGTGTCCTTGCTTCTTCAACTCAAAACGAAGATAAGAAGAGGATGGGAGCATCATGGCTTGCTGTTCGGCATTACGTATTTCCTCACCGACCTTCTCAAGACTGTAAGTGGTGGGTTTGCAGTTTAAGCTGGCTTAGGCAGTGAAGGGAGCTTGACTGACGTGAGCGCAGGGTCTGCAGACCTCAGCAAAGGCTGGATCTCGGTGCTCAGCTGCACTACTGTTTTCTCTGTCTCAGATCTGTTCTCTCTGGGCCGTCTTCAACGTTGGCGGGACCTCTTCCCAAGGCAGTGTAATGGTGGCTGATGACCCAGGATACATGTCCTTACAATCTTCATCATCTCTTCTGGACCATCTTTCACAGAAGTACCAGAAGTGAATCCTCTCAGAGGCAGGTCTGTGGATCCAGAGGATGGTGTGTGTGCGTGACTGGGCAGGCTTAGAGCTTGTACTCACCTCTGAAATGGAGCTCCACCCAAATTCCTGGATTGAGAAAGGAAAGGGATGGTTTTGGAAAGAAAGGAAATTTGGAATGTCATTTTCAGAAGATAGGGCAAGAGCGTGGGAGCCACGGGACCCACACACCCGTCACAGGAGTGAAGTTCATTGAAGGAGGGAGGAGGTCTTAAATACAGGCTTACAGCACAATGGGAGAACCCCGGAGGGCAGAAGTTTGCTACTGATGTTTTACAATCTTGCATCTAAACAGCATTCGGCACTGAAAAAAAAAAAAGAGTTAAACTCTTAAAGACATGTAAAGAAATTATATTAACATATATATGTATATATACACATACACACATACATACACACACACACACACACACACACACACACACACACACACATATATATATATATATATATATATACACATTTGTTGTGTGGGTATGCGTGTTAGGGAATAATTTGTGAGATTGATTCTCTCCTCCTTTGTAGGTCCCAGGAATTGAACTCAGATTCTCAGACTTAGCAGCAGGCACCTCTACCTGCTAGGCCATCTTGCCAGGCCTTACTTGTTTAACTTTGTTTAACTTTTAATAAAAATCATGTACATGGGAAAATAATTGGAAGGAAAATGCCGTGCTGACAATCATTAACCAGGTGCAGCAGGCCTGTATTCCCAGCACTTGGGAGGTGGGACCAGAAAAAAAAAAAGAGTGAAGTTCATTACAGAGAACCAGGTAAGGGCCAGCGCTCACCTCTAACCTGGTCCCTGGGTCTCACAGAGGGACAGCATTTTAAGTCTGCGTGCGTGTCTGCGTCTTCCACACTTTACGCGTCTTAAGCTTTCAGTGAACACTGTGTTGTACACTTACTGTCTTGCTTGGTTTTCTTACATGTAGCATATCACACATCATTAGCATTGTGGATTTTGTTTGTGTTTCCACTGCTACACGAATGGAAACCAGGGGCTCAAGCATATTCAGTAAGCGATCTACCACTGAGCTACACCCAGCCTCAGTAGCTCTTTTTTTTTTTTTTTAAAGGAGCCCAGGCTGGCCTTGAACTTGTGATCTGTTTGCCTCAGCCTTCTGAGTGTTGAGATTATAAGCCTTTGCCAGCACATCTGACCCAATGTCATTCTTAATGAGTGAAGGTGATGACCTTCAGGTCACAGCTTGGGCTGTACTCTCACTTGTTAGGGGCACCCTGGAGGAATCCTGCCCTGAGGAAGCAGCTGAGGCCTTCTGAGGACTAGTGATGGTGGTGGCTCCCTTGCTCTGGTTACTGGAGTGCCAGGAGGACTCCTCCAGGCAATCTGGGTGACTGCTGCTGTTGGACCTGCCTTGTCTGTCTCCCTGCTGGTGCCCGACACGTGCCCCGCTTTGTAGCACCTGGCATAAGGAACTCCTCTGTGCCAGCGCTGCCTCCTGAGAAGCTCCCAGGCCGTAGGCTGCTTTTTCAGCAAACAGGGACTCTGAGCTCATGGGCAGGTTTTGCTGACCCCCAGGCAGTGAGGGCCACAGCCCGAAGGGAGCGCTTTAGCCTAAACTCAGAGGCAGTCTCTTTCACAGTCTTGTTATCTGAGGAAACTTCAAGGGTGAAATGTCTCAGTTCACGCAATTCGATGGGGCTAACCCCATTTCCTCTGGTTTCAGAGGTCCCACACATTTTTGCTTGTCAAGTGGTTTGTACTTTTAGGGGACAACAATCAATCCCCAAAGAAGAACCAGTCCAGGAATGACAAATAGGGTTCATTATGTGCGTTAATTCTGACTATGTGCCTGGAGTGCAGTGTTAAGATAGATCCAGAGACTGCACCTGGTTCAAGGGAAATTAGAAACAGGATTGATTAGTCATGTCTGCCACAATCTCAGGCTCCACAAGCAATGGTGTTCTTGCCAAGAATTCAGTATTCCTGGTGGTTCAAACTTTTCTCCTTGCCCTCTAGGGCGTGTTCACATCTCTGCTTTAGTAATCTCTAGAAATTCCACCCTGCCATCCCTGTAACTGGCAGGAGCTGAGGACACAGTGGCAGGAGTATATTATAGCAGTTCTCACCCAGCCCTGGCATCCCTTCGGGACCCTGAGGACCTGCAGCTTTGGGCATCACCACCATGAAGGCCACACTCACGATGTCCTATGCCGACCTCTCTTCCTGGTGGAGTTCTTTAGCTTGACTCCAGTTTTACTCAGACTGATTTACTTTCCACAGGATCTTCCAGGGTTGGAGTGCAGCTGGGAAGATGGATGCCTGACAAGCACATACAAGGCTCTCAGTTCAATCCCAGAAAACCAAGGAACAAACAAACAAACAAACAAACAAACAAAACAATCATTCGGAGAGGATTGTCCTTGAGTTACTATAAAAAGAAACAAGTCTCTTCCCCCACTAAACATAAATAACTGGAGGAAAACTATGGGGCCACAAGCAGAAAGGGCTAGAATGCACATTCAGAACCTAAAACCTGCTAGCCAGGCCTGGAACTGCATGACTGTGGACTGACCCGACCAGGGCAACAAGGGATGGAGAAAGGACAGACACACAGACACATGTATGGAAAAGCTGGGAGTGGGTGGGCCTTGTGCTGATAGACGTGCAACAGCAGCAGCCAGGAAATCCAGAGTGTTTGTTTCATACATCTGAATCAAGGAGGTAAGTTTATGATAGACAGCGGAATAAGCAAGTGGGTTTATGGTGTGCCGCTGAGCAATGGGGCAGCCTTAGTTAATCTAGGTCGGAGGTCTCTATAGCAGAGCAGATTTTGGCTGCAAACACTCAGGGAGAGGAAGCCACAGGCGATACCTTCCTGTACACATTGTCAGCATCCATCCACACATGGACCAGGCAAAGGCATTGCCATTTCCCTGAGCCTGACCTGGGGAAGGCTTTGCCATTCCCACGGTCTGAGGCATTAAGGTCCTTGGCATGGCACATGTCAACAACACACATCACTCAGAACATCATATGCTCCCCCACAAGACAATGTAACAGGGAAGTAGGCATGTTCCTGAAGCTTCTGACCCATCAGGCTGGGGCCTGGGGGCTAGTGTGCAAGCTAGCCCAAAGCCCTGGTGGCAAGAATGAAGCCATGTGTTGGCTTTGTAGGCAGTGTTGATGGCACTTGTTGAGAGGTCTCATGAGCACAGCAAATCCCACCCTGTGGTTAGTCTGGAGCTTCCTGTGAGTGCTGGCAGGTGCAATGTGGTCTTGGGGAAACAGTTCTCAACCTGTGGGTCGCAACCCCACTGGGGGTCACATATCAGATGTCTTGCATATCAGATATTTACATTATGATTCACAATAGTAGCAAAATTATGGTTATGAATTAGCAACAAAATAACTTTATAGTTGGGAGTCACCACAGCATGAAGAACTGTATTAAAGGGTTGTAGCATTGGGAAGGTTGAGGATCACTGTCATAGGGAGAGATGTGAGACATCTTTACCTGTTGTGGCTTGGATATAAAGTGTCCCTCAAAAGACTTATCACACTTCCATTTAAGGCTTGGTCTCCATCTGGGGGCACCACTAAGAGGTGACTGGATCATCGGGCATTAACCTCATCAGTGGATTAATCTACTGATGGGCTGTCAGGAGGTGGGGCCAGGTAAAGGAAGTAGGTCACTGGGGGATGGAGGAGGCGTGTCTTCGAAGGGTGTTTGGTGGAGACTTTTGAAGTGATGTAAGGTATTTTGTCATAGCAAAGAAAGGCTGACTAACGTATGACTCGCCTATGAGGTCAGCATCCACTGTGAGGTCAAGTTTATATATCTGTGGCACAAAGAGGAACAGGTCTTAGCAGTTCCCCCAGCCTCAGCTTATGAGAACCTTCAGGACTTAAAGAGGAGCATGATGCTGCCCAGCATACGCGGTGGCAGCCGGACTAACTGACCACCCACTTCTGCAGGGCCCACACACACCGGCTGAAAGACAACACACAACCCTTCTTGACTCAGTTCCCCCCATGGCATAGAGGCAGATAGATGCGGGAAGATTCAAACTCAAGCACAAGCCGGGCTCCCAGGCAGCCGCTCTGTCCCTAACCGCTGTTGCCCTTGCCTGTGATTTGGTGTATACCAGAGGAACAGGACTCAGACCAGGCCAGTGTGGACAAGCCTGTGGATGCCACTCTACGTGTGTCTAGGCAGTTCTCTGAGAGGTGAGGGCCTCACGCTGTCCCTGTGAGCCCTGTGACGCTCTGTACTGGCTGACTGAATCACAGGTGATGCTAGGTGATGATTATCCGGTGATGACAAATGATCCCCACCATTTGAGAGCTGTGCTTGTGGGACAAGTGTACATCCCAAAGTCTGTCTGCACGGCCCATTCCCCTTTTCAGAACCCTTTTCTTTCCCGGCAGCCTGTCAAGCTGGGCACTACAGTGGCTTTGTCTTGAGTCTGCAATTAATTGGCCTGTGAGTTTGGGCTGGTCCATTTTTTTTTTTTCTGTCTGGGCCTCAGTTCCTCGTTGGTACAATGCAGTAGCTCATGGCCTGCAGACTTGAGAGCCCTTGAGTTGGGCAGGTCACCTGGAATAGAGAAAGCAGGGCTGGGCTGGGCGATGTGAGGAGATCCACGCTGTCTTCAGGGCCAGCTGTGCTCAGCCACAGCTGGATGCTGCCACAGGAATGCAGGACCACTGTGGCTTGTACTTCTGTAGTGTTAAAAGGAGAATTGTGTTGTATTTTTTTTTTTTAATGTGAAATCTCATTAAAAATTTTTGGCAGCCAATTTAAAAATTCTGCCAATGGACCTTGATTTGAGGCCCAGGTCCTACAGTTCTTTAAGTCAGAGGTCTTGGGATTTGTTCTTAGGGATATGGCTCTCATTTGGCCCTGCAGACTCCCACTACCCCTGGAGCACTGTGATCCCAACCCATCCTGTTGAATTCAGGTGTGGTGTCACGTGGCTTTCTTCGGCCAGTAGCATGGGAGAGGAAGCCTGTGTCACAGGCAAGCAGAAATGTGCTGAGCTGGCAGAAATGTCCCTGTGTTCTGTTGATGACACCAGACTAGTGTTCCAGATGCCGGCTGTTCTGTCCATCTGGCTCCCCGGGGATGGCAACGCAGCCCTACAGAATGGGAAGCAACGAGAGTGCACGTGTTTGTTACAGCTGCATCACTTGGCCGATGCTGACCCTCACTGTGCCCTTTTATCCAGTCACTGGGCTCACAGCCAGCCTGCCTGGGCTTCGTGACTACTAAACAGCGCAGCAGACGGGAGAGGCAGCCTCTGGTTTGGTTGGTTGGTTCTCTGTTGTGGCTCCGTTGTGTAGCCTGGGGCTCAGCGGGATACAGTAGGTGCTCAATAAGTAGTTGTTGAATGAAGGAGTGATAGGCACATCAGATATGGGAGGGGGCTCAGGCACCTGAGTGGGTGGCCCCAAGGCCTGAGGGAAGTGGGAATCTCCTTCCCACTTTCCTTTTGGGTGCAGCTTGGCCAGGTCCTTGCCAGCCTTTACTTGGTTTTGAATATCTCCCAGAATGCTGAGACAAATAAACCCTGATGGAAGTCTGTGCCCTTAACCCACAGAACAGAGGGCAACAAGAGAGAACCTCGTGTGGATGCTGGAGCAAGTGCCATGATGGCATGTCCTCTGGACCTTCTCATCCCCATGTCCTTGTGCTGACCTTCACCCATTCATTCCTGCACTGCCTTCAGAGGTACTGTCACAAGGACGTGTCCCCTCCTCGGTGATTCACACCAGGCTGTTTTATACTCATTTCTTTCTCTCCACGCTGCATGATGCCTGTGATCACACTATAATAGGTCTACAGACAGGAGGCTCCCTGTCATCCCCAGGTCCTCTGCTTCCTGGGTTTGCCACGTTCAATGGCAGTTCTGCCAACGTAACTTCAGAAGCACGTCCCTACTCTGTGTTTGTCCCACTGTCCCAGTACGGGGCCACTCCAGTCCCTGTCACGAAGCTCCCAGGCTTCTCTCTGCCGGGCAGGCCTTCCCCTGGATCTGCTGCAGATCCTGTCGTTATTTAGTATCAGTTTGAGTGCCACTCCTCTGACCGCGGTGTCTGAAGTAGGTCTCATGTCTCGGTCTCACTGCCCCACTTCATTTACTGCCCTCATCGCCACTCCCTGCAAACCCCTGCTCACTGTCAATCATGTCTCTAGGACAGGGCTTCTCAGCATCATCTCTACCCACATGCTGGGGTAGAGAATTCTGTGTTGTGGGGGATCGTCTTGTGTCTGGAAGGATCTTTATCAGATTCCCGGACCTATATCCCAAGGTGCCAGCAGCACACCCTTCCTAGTCATGAGCCCCAAAGATGTCCCCCTGGGGGCACGTGAGCAAGCTTACCCTTGATGATTGAGTACCGCTGCTTTGGAGAGTGAATGCGTGAATGCCCTTGTGGGGAGGCCTCAGCACTGTACATCTAGTGCCAGGATGGCGTTCCGTAAGTAACACACGCATTGACTGTGGCAGAAATCATCACAAGAAGGGACACAAATTTGCGTAGCACCCAAAATAATCTTGTCTGCAGGATCCGGAGTCGCATCTTGGAAATGCACACAGTCAGGTGTAAGGTCGCACCCGGTCTAAAGGAGTGTGGGATTCTCCCCGGCGAGGGTCTCTTTGGAGAGCCTGTAGACCCAAGAGGGGAGACTGTAAGCACCCTGACAGGCTGTCAGCTTTTAATGCAAACCTGGAAGAAAAGTTTGCAGCTACACCACGCACAGGCTGAAGGAGATAAATCACAGTTACTTGCAGCTGGCTGACAGCAGTTTAAGCCACGGCAATCACCGGGCTCCGAGGGGGAAGCTCCTTTTATCTTACTAAATGCAAAAAGTAGAGCTGAAATTGGCAATATCTCGGCCCTCTCCGCGGCCCGGCTTTTTACATAAATATCAGCAAGCGGTAAGTAAATTCTGTTGACGAAATGTAATAAAACAAAGACTGTTTCGAATATGACCATTCCCCGATGCATTCCGCAGCCTCTCCCACTCACTTATTGCTCGCTGCTGAGATTATAAGGTTTGCTTTTATCTGTCAGAAATCAATATTTCAAACATCGGATAAAAGAGGAAATTGAACTGGGAATAGGCCGAAGTGCTGTAAAAAACTACAAAGCACAATTATCAAAAAGCACTTAAAGTGCTTAATAGGACATACATATAAAAATGCTCAAATTAATGTCAGGGAGCCATAATGAGGACTTTTCCTATGCCTTTTTCCTCCCTTACGGCGTAATTTGAAGGCTGGCCAGTCCATCAATATGGTTTTCAATTTCTACGATGCCCCGAGGACTCTGAGCTGTGCATCTGTTGGAAATGAACCATTACATATGATTGGTTAATATTTCAGTTTATTGAAGATACATTATTTTGTATGGAGTGTTTAAGCTGTTGAGGTTTAACCATTACAAACAGTTATGACAAAAAATAGATCTTGGAATAAACAGCCTCCACAGTCATGCTTTTAATAAGCGGCACCATAACTAGGAAATTGGATTTCCAGGAGCTAGGAGATGGAGGGTGGGACGTCTCGGGACAGTGAGCTGCAGTAGGAAGGCCCTCCCCAATCTTCTCTACACCAGAACATGTTGGAAATTGAGGATGGGGTCTGTTTTTCTTTTTTCTTTGGTGACAGAGTCTATGTTGCCCAGGCTGGCTTTGTTCTTGAACTTCTGGACTCAAGTGATCTGTCTGTCTGTCTCATACTCTCCAGCAGCCAGGCTTATGTGTATATGACATATGGTGAGATTTCTGTGTGTGTGTGTGTGTGTGTGTGTGTGTGTGTGTGTGTGTGTGTGTGTGTGGTACCAGGGTCTATGCATGCTAGGCAAGTTATCCACCATTGAGCTATATACTTAGACCTCTTTGTGTGTGTGTGGGGGGGCGGGGAGTGGACAGGGTCTTACTAAGTTGCCCCAAGTCATCTTGAACTTGTAATTCTCCAGAGCAGCTGTGATTCCAGGTCTCTGCTACCAAACCCTAGCTCTTTCAAAAACAAGCAAAACCCACACAAACCCTGCCATAATATTCCTTATTTTAAAATACTTTAATTTGATTAATTTATTTGTGTGGGTATCTGTGTGAGCAGATGTGTGTGTGTGTGTGTGTGTGTGTGTGTGTGTGTGTGTGTGTGTGTATGCCTGTGTGCATGCATACTTACCTGCATGTGCAGAGAGGCCAGAGAGTGTTAGAGCCTTCAGAGATTGAGTTACAGGCATTATGGGACACTGAGATTGTTATGCGTAGGGATTCGAACCCCAGCCCTCATAATTGTGCAGCAAAAACTCTTAACCACTGAGCCATCTCTCCAGCCCCTTTGGTTTTTATTGTTGTTTTTCTTCCAATTGAGAGAAGCTTTATTTCCCCAAGATTGATCGCAAATACCACTCGCTCCTCCTCCTCCCTTATTGGGGTAACTGGGGATAAAATCCAAGGCTCTATGAATTGTAGACAAGCCTTTACCAAGTACTGCCCCCAGCCCTTAGATTTGCCCCTTTCTAGATAATAATTGCCCATCTGGAATTCTAAATTGGGAAGCAGCAGCCTTTTCTAGACGGGCCAGACAGTGAAGGTTACAGGACCTGCCGGGGCCAGTTGCTAAGGACTGTGAGACCATCTGAGTCCTTCTTAGCAGGTGGCTGCAGGGAGCCCGTGCACCACTTGT